ACTCCCTTTTTAGGTATCAGTCTCTTGGGTATATGTGGATGTACTAATGAATAAGGGATTGTTCTGAAATCTAGATTAGAAATTCTACTGACCTGTAGTGGTATTGTGTTCCCCCAAAATATTGTGCACTCTAATAAACTTATCTGGGGTCAGAGACAGAACAGCCACAATATTAAACATAGAGGATAGGCAGTGGTAGCACACGCCTTTAATCCTAGCATTCCAGAGGCAGAAATCTACCTGGATCTCTGTGAGGTCAAGGATACAGCCAAGCATGGTGACTCACGCCTTTAACCCTAGAAAGCAAGCCTTTAATCCCAGGGAGTGATGGTAGAAAGCAGAAAGGTGTATAAGGCGTGAAGACCAGAAACTAGAGGCATTTGGCAGGTTAAACTTTTAGGCTTTTGAGCAGCACAGTTTAGCTGAGAGGCATCCAGTCTGAGGAAACAGGATCAGCTGAGGAATTGGCAACGTGAGGTGGCTGTGGCTTGTTCTGCTTCTCTGATCTTCCAGCATTCACCCCAATACCTGGCACTGGGTTTGATCTTATTAATAGGACCATTTAAGATTCGTGCTACACTGACCCAAAGGAGGTTTTTTTGAGACAGGGTTTCTCTGTATAGTTTTGCTGCCTGCCCTGGATCTCACAGAGATCCTCCTGGCTCTGCCTCCTGAGTGCTGGGATTAAAGGCATGCACCATCACCGCCTGGCCCAAGGAGGTTTTAAAAACATTCCCCTATAAGCTTCTCTCGTTTTCTCTCTCTCTCTACCACCTTTCTTCCCTCCCTCTCTATTTCTCAGACAGACTCTCACTCTGTAGTCTAGGCTGGCCTCAAACTCACTGTGTAGCCCAGGCTGTCCTTGAACTCACAATGATCCTTTACCTATGTGCTGGGGTTACAAAGTTTTAATATTACTAAATTTTTCCTTTTATATTCTAGCTGTCCATACATTTGGAATTATGAGAAATAAATGTCATGTCTAATGATGGCAAAGGTCTATCACTTTTCCATATAAAGAGTCAATTGCTCTGAGGCCATTTTTAAAGTTACCTGTGGTTTTCCCACCAATCTGGGGGTACCACTCAATACAATTACCAGTTACCCATTGATAGACTCCAGACCCAGGGTACTACCTTCTCAAGTGGGCGCCCCAAGAACCCAGACTCTGGTCCAGTTGATGCAAACAGCAAGAGGTTTATTGAAGCGGCTGTACAGTCGGGCCACTCCTATCCTGAGAGCAAGAGTCGCATCCTACTGCAGCCACATAGGTACTTTTAAAGGAAAAACCCACAAAAGCCACAAGATTACAATTCCCATACAATTTCGTTTCAATTGATTTATGTCTAGAGGCTAATTTCACAAGATCATGATCTGATCACAGAGTGGGTACACTCATGTCCGAATGCACATTCTTCCCGAGACCTCAAGGGGGGTATCAGGGTGGGAGTGAGAGTTACACAAAGGTTACAGTGGTGTTTCCTGGAACACTTGCAATTATCCCAGTCACAGTTGAGCGCATCTCTTAACAGAACTCTCTTTACATTTCTACATTGTGGCTGGGGTGGCTGAGTCAGTTTGCCCTTGGAACTAGCTTTTTAGTTCCTCATTTTCCAGGGGCTTGGGGGGCGGTGTGTAAGCCTAAAGGGTTAGGTCTTTTACCCATAAATTCATGTGAACTTCTAAATTCTCTCTTCTATTCTAATTTAAGTTTTCATTTTAAAAATTAATTATTTTCTTGTGTGTGTGTATGTATGTTTTGCCTGAATGTATGTCTGTGTACCACATGTGTGTCTGGTGCCTACAGAAGCCAGGCGATAGTGCACCAGAGTTTCAATTAGCTTTGAGCCACCATGTGGGTGCTGGATATTGAACCCAGGTTCTCTGGAAGAGCAGCTAGCATTCTTAACTGCTGTGGATGTCTTTCTGTATGCTGTGAATATGTGTTGCTCTGATTGGTTGATAAATAAAGCCATTTGGCCTATGGCAAGGCAGCTTAGAGGCAGGTGGGAAATCCAAACAGACAGACAGGAAGAGAAAGGAGAGGCAAGGCAGATGCTACAAGCTGCTGCCAGGAAAAGCAAGATGTAAAGATACTGGTAAGCCACAAGCCACGTGGCAAAGTACAGGTTTATAGAAATGGGTTAATTTAAGATATAAGAGCTAGCTAACAAGAGGCCTGCCATAGCCTATACAGTTTGTAAGTAATATAAGCCTCTGTGTGTTTACTTGGGTCTGAGCGGCTTTGGGACCAGGCAGGACCCAGGGAAACTTCCGCCTACACTTAACTACTGAGTTATCTCTCCATCTCCTAGTTTTCTTTTCTGTTTAAAAATTTTATTATATTTTATTTATTTGGTGTGTGTGTGCTTGTGTCTCGTGGTGTATGTGTGTAGGTCAGACAACAGCTTGCAGGAATTAGTTCTCTCCTTCTACCATGTGGGTTCTTGCTGTGGGATGGTCTGTATGTCAAATTGCTCTCATTGGTCAATAAATAAAATGCTGATTGGCCAGTGGCCAGGCAGGAAGTATAGGCGGGACTAACAGAGAGGAGAATTAAGGAAACAGGAAGGAAAGAGAGACACTGCCAGCCGCTGCCATGACAAGCAGCATGTGAAGATATCAGTAAGCCACAAGCCACGTGGCAAGGTATAGATTTATGGAAATGGATTAATGTAAGCTATAAGAACAGTTAGCAAGAAGCCTGCCACGGCCATACAGTTTGTAAGCAATATAAGTCTCTGTGTTTACTTGGTTGGGTCTGAGCAGCTGTGGGACTGGCTGGTGACAGAGATATGTCCTGACTGTGGGCAAGGCAGGAAAACTCTAGCTACAGGTTCTAGTGTCAGGCCTGGTGGAAAGTATCTTCATTTACGAAACCATCTTGTCAGCCCCCAGTCTCAGTTTTCTACGACTGCATCAACAACAAATGACTTTGACTCTTGTTCTGTGAATTACGTAAGTCAGAACACATGTAATAAGCTAATTTTGTCTGACTTCAAAGCCTTGCATTCCTTGCAGTGCCGTCTCAGTGTGTCTGGTAGGCTTCTAGGAATGTCCTAACAACTGCCCGTGATGGATCCTGCTTCAGTGCCCATTCTCCTGAGAGTCGGTATCAGGAGCATTTGTTGTGGGACTCTTGGGGGTAGAGTATATTTTCATACTTTATGTGAGTGTGTGTGTTTTGTGTGCGTAGTGTACACTCATGTCTGAAGGGCAAAGGAGGATATTGGGTGCCCTGTTCTATCACTCTTCACTTTATTACTTTGAGACAGGGTCTCTCACTGAAGCTGAAGCAAGGCTGGCAGTCAGCAAGCCCCAGAAGTCCTCTTATTCCCACCCCCAACAGTGCTGTGGTTGTAGATATGTGTCTAGCTATGCCCAACATTTTATGTGAGTGCAAGGGATTCAAATTCATAGACAGTGTTGTTACTCCCTGGACCTTTCTCCTACCTCCCCCCGCACCTTTGTGTATGTGTTTTGTTTTGTTTGAGGCAGCATCTGATGTAATACAGGCTGGCTAGAGACTCAATATACAGCTGAGGATGACTTTGAATTCTTGATCTTCCTGCCTCTACCTCCCAAGAGCTGTGATTACAGGCATGTATCACCATGCCCAGCTTACTCTGTGCTTCTTGTTAAATATATTTCTATTTAATGTTTTGAGTTGCTGTAGCAGGGCTTCCCATGCTCATGCCACTTTGATGTAAGACAAATTTTCTGATGCATTATTAAGTATAGATTCTGCTGAAGCTTTCCTATATTCAGTTGTTCTGTTCTAGTGATATCTGTCTTAATTTGGGCTCCCCAGGGCAAAGCCTGGGTAAGAACTGGTGTGGGAACTCTTGTAGGGGTATATACAGAAGCAGGAGGGTGGAAGGAAGTGACCAGTTGTACTGAATCAGCACAGGAACTCCAGGGGTGCAGCTCTTCCCATGATCGACTGGCTCCAGATTGGTCTCTGTCCAATGGTGCAGTAGAACTGTATGGGACAGAAAGGAGGCTCCTCCTGCCCTCAGCACTGGCTCTGTGGAAATCCTGGGTACAAGCCTCCATATTCTGGGGTTGGTGTCACCTTCTTCTGTGGAGAAAGCTACAAGGCCTCAGGAAATTCATCAACTCATCATACCTAAACTGGAACCCAGCATTAATGAGTGATGGAGCAGGCTCCTTTCTGCCCATTGTCCTGCTCAGTTAGCATTGCCACCTCTTCCTCAAGACCCACAATCATGGTCCCCAGGGTGATGGTATGTGCTGTATGTGCTCCAGGAATGTGAGGGTCTGAAGCATAGATGAGCATGAGCAAGCTTGCTTCTGTACCCAGTGGAGCATGCTAGTCATACATTGACAATTGTCTGAGCCTCTCATAAGGTTCCAAGAGATGCCACATTCCCACAGAGGTCATAGAATGGTAGGTGCCAGGGACCAGGTTGGGAATTAGGGTCAGTGGTGGCAGATGTCCAATTTGGGACGATGCATAGGCTAGGGTAGAAGGTAGGGATGGCTGTACAGCAAGGTGAGTATGCTTAGTCCTGCTAATAGTGCTTGGAAAAATGGCTGAAAGTAGATTTCATACTATAGATATTTTACAGAAAGTTTTGGACTGCCCTATAATTGACCACAATTGACATGATTTTTTCTATAGACAGTACACTGTTCACATTGCTATGCTCAGGATAGGAGCCAATTTGTACCAGCTTCTATTCTGTGCTCATCACCCCTTCATGCAGCTTTGCTGGAGCATAACTGACTCCAAAGCCTCATTTCCGGGGCTGGAGAGATGACTCAAAGGTTAAGAGCACTTGCTGATCTTGTAGAGGGAATCCACATTGCATGGCTCACAACAGTCTATAACTAAATCTCCATGGGAATCCAATACCCTCTTCTGGCCTCCTTGGACATCTTAATACACATGGTATACACAGACACATACACATAAGTAATAATACAATTTTTAAAATTGAGAAGTCTGACCCACTCCCTTATGCTTCACCCCACAGGTGACCTACGGCTCTTTTGACTACACTTCACTGCTTTACCTCTCGGATTACTTAGAGGACTTCGGTGGAGGGCGCTTTGTGTTCATGGAGGAAGGGTCCAACAAGACAGTGGAGCCCAGAGCTGGTAGGACACAGCCTGGTGGGTTGTCCTAGGGTATGGGATACAGGCCTGTAATTCAGCTAGATGGCATTTGTGCATGTTCACAAGCATGTATGTACACACGCATGCGCTCGCTCTCTCTCACACACACACACACACACACACACACACACAAACACACACACACATACACACACACACACACACATGTACTGTGGGTGAGGTGGACTTTACTCCAGGCAATACTACATTTATCGTTTGGTCTTAGTTCTAGGTTTGTCCAAGTCTACCTGCTAATCATAACACCCAGAGGCCAGCTTTGTTACTCAGTTGCCCAGTGTTACTGCAAGTGACTGGCAGGGCCAGGCTTCTAGGGGTATCACATTGGAGTTGGAGTGCAGGGTCTCACCAGATTCTGTTGCATGCTCCTGTTCAATACCTTTTGTTTGTTTGTTTGTTTGTTTTGTTTTGTTTTGTTTTGAGACAGGGTTTCTCTGTGTAACAGCCCTGGCTATCCTGGCTGGCCTTGAATGCACAGAGATCCGCCTGCCTCTACCTCCCGAGTGCTAGGATTAAAGGTGTGTGATACCATGCCTGACTTCTCCATGACCTTTTTTGAAGGGACCTAACAACTTAAGATTAAGTGATGTTGGCTGGGGAGAATCACAGTGGTGAGTGCTTATGCATGAGGCCCTAGAATCCCTAGCTCCACAAAATAAAGACAATAAAAATAAGAAAGACTAAATGATAGTTCTAATGCAATGTTAGACATCGTGTGCTGCATTCTACTGTGTCCTGCATAACATTGTGGGGCCTGTCTCAGAGCTCATCTCCCTGGTGGCCTGAAGACCCAGAGTCCCTAGCACCATGCTGCATGGTTCTCCCCAGGGAGCAGACAAATGCCCCTTCCTGCCTAACCTCTGGAGAGACTGAGCCCAGGTCCTAGTGGGGAGGTAGAAACTGAGCCTAGGTCTGAGTAGGAGGTGGAAATTGAGTCCAGATCCTGGTAGACAGGTGATAGCTTTGGGGACCCAGTCCTATGTGGGAGAATACAGGAACGTGTGTTCCACCTTCCTGAGATGTGGTCTCTGCCCCTGGTCAAGACCCAGCTGCCGTGCAAACACACACACACACTGGCCGTTGCACCAGCATGTCTTCTGTACCATGTTCCACCTGTCTGCTACAGTGTCTCCCTCACCAGCTAAGTGGTCCTGTTGTCACTTCTCTGGCTATTAACAGCTCCATCAGAGCAGCAAGGCTGTCCACACAAGATGATTTAGAAAATCGTTTTGGACTATGGATCCAGCACCTCCTTGCAATGGTGTTTGCTGTGACCTGCACAGCCTGGATGACTGACAAGTGATGAGGAATGAAGAAATGACAGGCACACCTACAGAGAAGCTGGGATTGAGTGGCCCACGTGCTCTAAGGAAACATACCAGCAGCCCAGAACTCAGTGCGTTTATTATATGCTACTGAGCAAGGAGGTGTGTTATTTTATACAGCTAAACAAAGAGACAGGTTTATTATATACAACTAATCTCAGTAAGGGAGGGTGCTGTAGGGGAGCAGTCGTCAGGAAAGAGGAAGCTGTGGTTGATAGTCTCTGCATACACCAGTTTAAGCTGAAGGTCAATTTTGGTAACATCTGTATTTGCACCAGAGAAAGGTTTTGCCATTCCAGTGGGTCTGAAGCATTAGGGTCCTAGATATGGCCATGGTCATGCCAGTAATACATATTGAGGCTGGGCATATTGGCACATACCTTTAATCCCAGAACTTAAGAGACAGAAGCAGGCAGATCTCTATCATTTTGAGGCCAGCCTGATTTGCAAAATGAGTTTCAGAACAACCAGAACTACATAAAGCGACTCTGTTTCAACAAACAGAACAGAAATAATACATATTCATTCAGGACTTCATCCACTTCCATAAGTGTTGAACATGAAAACAGCTTTTAAAAATGTGTTTATGTGTGTATGTATGAGTGTGGGTTTGTGCACATGAGTGCAGTGCCTGTAGAGGCCAGAAGAGGGCATCAGATTTTCTGAACTAGAGTAATAGGCAGTTGTCAGCTGCCTGACCTTGGTGCTGGGCACTGAACTTGGGTTCTCTGTTCTCTACAAGAACAATATATGCTCATAACTGATGTGCCATCTCTCCAGCCTTTGAAAATCGCTTCTAAATCAAAAGATAGAATGGGAAATTAAAGGGTACTGTCTCTCCTTTGGTTGGCATTGATCATGGGACAGGCCATGTCTACATCCTATAGGCAGCTGGGACTCAGTGACTCATTCAGTGTGGTGTGAGCCTCTATTGATGGGTTTAGGACCTAAGAACAGAGTGGCTACACCAGACCAGGCCCCAGACTGCGTGAAGGGTGAGTCCAGGAAACAGTGCTACTTTGCAGATGGTACAGGAGTATCCACCATGGTGGCTGAACAGGATGGGTATGGCATTGCCATGGTCTCCCTGCAGACTGGAACTGTAGAGACTGGCATGAGAGCTGGCTGCTACATGGGAATTGATATGAATTATGGGGACATGTCCTAGTCACTGTTCTGTTACTATGAAGAGACCCATGACCATGGCAACTTTTATAAAGGAAAGCATTTAATTGGGGCTTGCTTACAGTTTCAGAGGTGTCCTCCATTGTCATCATGGCAGGGAACGTGGCAGCATATAGGCAGACATGTTGCTGGAGAAGTAGCTGAGAGTTCTATATCTGGATCCTCAGGCAGCAGGAAGAGAGGGCCACTGGGCCTGGCTTGGGCTCTTGAAATCTCAAAGCTCACCCTCAGTGACATACTTCCTCCAACAAGGCCACATCTACTCCCAAAAGGCCACATTCTCCTAATCCTTTCAAATAGTGCCACTTCCTGGTGACCAGGCATTCAAATCTTTAAGCCTTTGGGGACCATTCTCATTCAAACCATCATAAGACATCACTATTTACCACTTAGGGCTCCTGAGGGGGGAACAGGACTCAGGAGGTCCCTCTCCTGAGATTAGAGGGACCTGTTTTGGAACCCTGGGGACCTGTCTAGGGCTGTTTGATGGTCACGGCCCGGCCTGCTCCCTAGATGAGGGTAAAAGCTGATGGAATATGTCAACTTCTGGCTTCACCTACTAAGGTAAGTAAGGTATTAAGCACACTACCAGTGTCAGTCACTCCTGTGAGAAGTATACCCAGTACCTCCTTCTAAAAGCCATGTTAAAACTTAAAATATAGAAAGAACAAATATTTAATTTCATAATGAATTCCCTAGAATCATGACAGTCATCTATATCTGTGCAATGTTCCTCTTCCTGGGCTCATGGCAGGCTCTCTGGCCATCTCCGGGTGCATTGTTCCTCTCCTTATATCTGTTTTTGCCACTGCCCAGCCTGGTGCTCAGAATCCAGCAAAAGCCATTCACACTCACCCGAAGTTCATTATGAAATTCATTGTGAATTATAATTCTCCAAGGGAAGAAGCTGAAGGGTAGGGTCCTGGTGAGCCAGGCAAGTTTCCTGCCATTTACCACAAATCCCAGCTCTAGCCATCCATGGGACACACATAGGGTCCTTCTGACCAGGTGCTCATTGAGTCTTAATGACCAGGGTTTTTATTGGCTGTTGGTAAAGAGAGCATGGCTGACACCCCCCAACCCGTGTAACTCTCTGGCCCTCAGAGGTTGGGCTTATTCCATATGGCCCTGGGCCCTGCTGTAAATCATGAGGCTGGCTGGACTACGTGGTGGGGCTCACAACCCAGGTCAGCAAAGACTGTGGTCAATCCTTTCTCTGAAATAGATAAGGTGTGGTCAGTCAACTGTTTATTTGCTCCCACCCTGTACTGTAACCCCCAGTCAGTACACTTGGGATACCCTTTAGGGGTCCCAAGCACTTTATGGACTGAAAGCCAGCAAAACTTTGGAGTAGCTGTCACTCAGGGACTATGATTACATGAGGAGACATGCAGGATTCTAGAAACCTAGGTCACTTTGTAATTTGGTTTTTCAGTTGTCAAGTTCAGTCCTGCTTTAAGGATGTAGGTGACCATCAGACAGTGCTTCCCAGGGATAGGGGGTGTCATACAATCCCCTGTTCTGAGAACTGGGGTGTCCTTGTTCATCATTGTGCTTGGCAGTCCTTGTCTGTCTTTGTCTCTGCTCTGGGGCTGATGTTTCGATTCCATTGTAAGGGTCCTATCATTTTGTAACTCCAAGACCTCTCTGACATATCTGTCATTTCAAAAACATGGACTTTTGAGCTGTCAGATTTTAGTGGAGTTCATTAAAAGTAAATGAAGTCCGAAGCCTGCACTAGCCTGTGTCAGCATTACCACCGTCATTTAGGGCGTGAGAGTCTTTAAGCAGTGAGGAAAGTGATAAACATGACTATTTTTCCCTCACAAAGCGGTACTGCAGTCTGCAGCCGTGGAGGTATCCATTCGCTGTGCGAGGTTGGGTCCTGCAAGCTGAGCCTCTTTATATCAGCTGACTATTCCCAAGTCACCTGGTCACAGGAGAGGCTTCAACTAGAGTACAGGAGTCCTTCCTGTAAAAAGGTGATGCTGTAGCCATGCACCCTGCAGCTATGTGCTCACCATGAGCTGTCTCCCTGACTTGCACACTCTGTCTTTTTCTGTCTCGCTCCTCTTCCTCCCACCCTTCTGGGTTTTTGTTGTTGTTTGTTTTGTTTTGAGACAGTCTCATGAGGCTGATCTTGAATTCCTGATTCTTTGCCATCATTTGCCAAGTGCTGGGATTACAGTTGTGTGCTGTCACACATGGCTTTATTTCCTCAACTCTTGAAGGAAATCAAAGTTGAAGCTCTTAAGAAGTCCAATTTATTGGGTTTGGGGATTTAGCTCAGTGGTAGAGCACTTGCCTAGCAAGTGCAAGGCCCTGGGTTTGGTCCTCAGCTCTGAGAAAGAAAAAAAAAGAAGTTCAACGTATTGATCTTTTTCTTCTAGTATTCATTCTTTTTTTAATTTGTTTTGTTTTGTTTTTGTTTTTTTGAGACAGGGTTTCTCTGTGTAGCTTTGGAGCCTGTCCTGGAACTCTCTCTGTATATAGTATTCATTCTTTAAGACAATGCCTAAGAAATATTTGCCACCCTAAGATTATAGGGATTTTTCTTGTGTTCATTTGTAGAGACTTTATGACTTCTTTTTTTTAAAGGTTTATTTATTTATTATGTATACAGTGTTCTGCCTGCATGTGTCCTTGCAGGCCAGAAGAGGGCACCAGATCTAATTGCAAGGGGTTGTGAGCCACCATGTGGTTGCTGGGAATTGAACTCAGGACCTCTGGAAGAGCAGTCAGTGCTCTTAACCACTGAGCCATCTCTCCAGCCCAACTTTATGACTTTTATATTAATGCTTCTGATCCTTGTTGAAATAATATTGATGTGTGGTGTGAGGTAGGGGCCAGTGTTCACTTGTTATATATGGGTTTCCAGATGTTTCTACATCATTTGTTGAAGAGACTGTCTTACCCATCAAATGATCCTTGAAGCTTTTGTCATAGGTCCATAGACTGTGTCCATATGCTTCTGGCTCCGCCCACTGAGTGACTCGCCATAATGTCTCCACCACTATAGCTTTATAACCTGGAACACAGGTGGCATTAGTTCTTATTCTTCATTTTAAAAGTTGTTTTTGCTGCCAAAATTTTTTTGTCTTCATTTCTAAACGAATTTTAGAGTCTACTTGCTAATTTCTGCAAAAATTTTGTTTTGAGTTGCATTGAATCTGTGGAGTAATTAAAGCAAAATACCAAGGTTTTTGGCTGGCCCACTTCCACCTACAAGTGCTCCCATAACTTTTGTGTTTTCATTTTCCTATCTTTTACTCAAATATGAGATAAATCAACACCATAGTATGTTAAGTATGTTATTAAGTTATCCTATCCCCTCTCTTTAAATGATTTATCCCTTCTCTTGGGAATTAGCAGGAGAGTGTCCTCCCCCTGCCCCCACCCTCAACCTGCTCATCCCTTCCAATATTTCCCACCCCTTTCTGGATCCAGGTTTCTAGCTGGGAGTATCTCCCTTTAGCCTGTGGCAAGGAGGCTGCAGTGATGTTTCTGAATGTGTCCTCATTTTACCTTTTATCCCCTCAATGGTGCTGGGGATGAGCCCAGGTTCTCATGAATGCAGCATAGGCATTATACTGTAAGCTGCACCCCTAGATCTCACTGTTTATTGTTTTGTTTTGCTTTGAGACAGGGTTTTATTCTGTAGCTCAGGCTAACTGGACACTTCAGATGCTCTGTCTCAGACTCTCGACTCCTGAGATTATATATGAATATCACACTGCCTGGTGCCCCTCATTGTTTTGTTTTGTTTTTTTTTAATTTTATTTTCATTGGATGTTAAATTCTGAGTTGATAGGGGTCCTATGTGCTTGCCCTTCCTGATTCCCCCCAACTCTTTTTATTTCTTTCTTTTTTTTTTCTTTTTCTTTTTTGAGACTGGTCAAGCTTTTCTTGAACTTATGATCCTTTTGCCTCAGTCGTAAGGTACTGGGATTCTACATGAGCCACCATTTGTTTTATTTTATGTGTGTGTTAGCCTTCATATTGTAGGTGCCCTGTGTCCTTGAAGTGTTCACAGATGCCAGAAGAGGACACCAGATCCCCTGGAGGTACAGATGGTTGTGAGCTGCCATGTGGGTGCTGGAAATTGCACCGAGGTCCTCTGCAAAAGCAGCAAGTGCTCTTAACTGCTGAGCTGTCTCTACCCTCTTTTTTTGAAATAGACTCTCAGATATCTCAGAATACCTCAGACTAGCCTTGAATTCACTCTGTGGCCAAGGGTGACTTTGAACTGATTCTTCTGTCTCTGCTTCTCTCTCAAGTGCTGGGATTGAAGATGTACACCATCATGCTCAGTTAATCCAGTACACAGGATCAAACCTAGGACTTCATGCATGCTAGGCAAGCACTCTCTCAGCTGAGCTATATCCCCAGTGAAATGTTTGTTTTGTTTTGTTTTGTTTTTAAGCAGGGTGAAGGGATTTAACCAGCAAATAAAGGGTCTAGTGACCTCACGTTCATCTTTGAGGTATTAACATAAGCTTTGGTTTAAACAGGGTAAGAGGTGTTCATAATTAAGCAGTCTTGGACAAGGTTAGGTATGGTTAACCATTGTCTCCATTCTGGTTCTCCAGAGTGGTAGGAAGTTGTTTTAGCCATCATCTCTGCTCCAGAGTGCACTCTCACCTACCTATACAATTACCTTCATCTGGAAGGATGCTCTGTCCTACAAGACTCTAGCAATAAAAGGTGACTGCAGGTTTAGGATAATGACATTTCTGTGCTGTTAGCCTAAAGGGGGATGAGATGGTCAGGAGGTAGTCCTCAGTCCTTAGCATGCCTACACAGAGTCAAGCAGGAGTCTAACACAAAGTAAAGGAGATGGACACAAAATGGAGGCAGAGATGTCAGGCTTTCATCCTGCTTTTAGTTGCCCATGGGTCCAAGTGTGGAGTATGGGCAAGCCCCTAAGTGCCTGTTATACTACTTTTTAGCAAAACAAGCCCCTAAGTGCCTGTTTTACTACTGTATCTTGGTAAAGGATATCACATAACCAAGAAGCATGAAAGAGAGAGGGTGGGAACAAGTGGATTAAAATATCTTATTCATTTTTCTTTCTTTTTTAAAGATAAGGTCTCACTATGTAGCCCTGGCTGGCCTAGAACTCTGTATGTGGACCAGGTTGGCCTCAAACTCACAGAGGTCTGCCTGCCCTTGTCCCTAAGTGCTGGGATTAAAGTCATGGGGCAACTCAGAAAATGTGGGGCTTTTACCCACCAACCCCACAGCTCCCCAGAGTTTTCTTGAGTGTGAGCAGCAGGAAATATTAGATAGAAGGATTTATATTGCGGAGATAAACAGATAGAAAATAAAGGATAGCCTCCAGAGGGCCTGAAACCTTTTCCAATGGGCCCTGACTGTCTCTGCCCCAGGGTATTTATAGAGACGCCAAGGGGTGGAGCAAAAGACCTCCTCCCCCAGCACAGCCAAGTGCAGACCATCTCAGACACCTGCACTCAGGCCTGTGGTCCTAATCATCCTCTATGTGGACCTGCTGGATAAAGCCACGAGGAACCTGAAAACGGGCTCCCACAAGAAAATATCATTTTTAAAAAAATTTCAGTTCCTACTGCTCCTGAGGAGAAGCCAGCCACTGTCTCTTGTATATGCTTCCCTCCTCCTCTGCTACTTTCAAGATTTTCAGTAATTTTGTTTCATCAGCTTGATCGTGGTGTGCAGAGGTACTGATTTATTTATTTGCATTTTTCATCCCCTTGGGGGAATGTTTGGTCACTGATTCTTTTAGCATTTTTTTTTTTTTAAATCCCAATGTGAATCTCTTCTAAACCTGCTAGTTAGTGTATGGTTTCCTGTCTTCCCAAGCTCAGGAGACCCTGTCGTCTTCCATTGTTTTTCCTGTGTAGTCTGGCTGTGTGAAGGACATACAGGACTGTCTGGATCTGTGAGAACTCCTCTCTTACTGAACGTTGCCACACAGAAGTGTGTCTGTCATTGTGGAGGAGCAGAAAGGGTAGACAGCGAGGGGACCAAGTATCTCAGGTACCCCCTCCATGGGGCTCTCTGTGCATTGAGGTTAGGCTGCCTGTTTCCACATCTCAGGTTTAGTTGACAAAGGAAGAAACAAGGACAAAATGTCTTTAAAAACACATGAGCTCACTGGGCGGTGGTGGCGCACACCTTTAATCCCAGCACTCCGGAGGCAGAGGCAGGCGGATCTCTGTGAGTTCAAGGCCAGCTTGGTCTCCAAAGCAAGTTCCCAGAAAGGTGCAAAGCTACACAGAGAAACCCTGTCTCGAAAAAAAACCAAAACCAAACAAACAAACAAACAAACAAAAAAAGAAAACAAAACACATGAGCTCAGAAAGTGGTAACTCCACACACCCTGGAAAGCCTGGCCCTTCATACACAGTGCTTGATGGGTGCAGGAGGAAGGGCGGGCCACCAAGGCTCCTCACACTTGGTTTCTTTGCTCTGCATTCTCTGGGTTCTGTCAGCCTCCCACTAGGATGTGGTACAGGTCAGATGGACTTTTCTCCCTTTTTGAGGGTTTAAAGTCCCAGTAGGAAGAAATGCAGTGGCCAGAAGGGAAACAGCATTGTCATGAAGCATGTGAAGGCCTGCTGCGCGTCAGATGCGGCCCTTTCTGAATCTCAGTGTTGCGCAGGAGTTCACAAAGCTGGGTGCAGCGTTTAGCAGTAAGCACTTACAGTAAAAGTGTGTACAAGCCGCTTAGAGACTCAAGCAGATACACACTCTCTTAGAAGTTTGGAAGGACTCCCAAGACCAGGGCATGACACCCTGAGTAGCCCTGGATGCTGCATGGAAGGGGCTGTTTCTGTTTTCACGGGTCATCTATTTTGACATGCTTCTCTGGGTTGCTAGGATAATAATGATTATCCTCCATGATTGATTTTTTTTAAAGTTCTTATTTCTGTTTTACATGTATGGGTGTTTTGTCTGCATGTGTGTCTGTAAACATGTGCAGTGCCTATGGAAGTCACAAGAGGCATCAGATTCCTTAGTGCTGGAGTTAGAGCCAACTGAGAGCTGCCATGTGGATGCTGGTCATCATACCCAGAGGACTCTGGGAGAGCAACCAGTGCTCTGAACTGCTGAACCATCTCTCCAGCCCCTGTGATTAGTTTTTATTTCCCACCTGTCAGACCTGGAAAGCTACTAGCAAGCCACTGTCTCCCCACAATAGAAAGTCCCCATAGCCAGGAAGACTGGGGGTCCCCTCTGCCCCCTTGATGCACCCAGCACTGCTGGTTCAGTTCTCTAAGTCCTCTGGCTTTTGTCACAGCAGTTGGGGGTCAGGGTTTCTCCATCTTGTCCAGTGCTGTTCTGTTCATTGCTGTGTTCATTCTGCAAGTGTGGCCTAGAGGTTACCTCTCTTTTCTCTCCCTCCAGGTCGAGTCTCATTCTTTACCTCAGGCTCTGAGAACCTGCACCGGGTGGAGAAAGTCCTCTGGGGTACCCGCTATGCCATCACTATCGCTTTTACCTGCAACCCTGACCATGGCATCAAGGATCCAGTACTCACGTAACAAGCTAGGTTGCGTCCTGAGAACCATGTCTGGAAGCCTGGGGGTAGCACCCTATTGTTGGGACACAGCCTTGTCGATGAAGGCACTCCCAGGCCAGGCTGAACGTGCGCTCACCCCCTCCCCCCATTCCAGCCCATCGCTGCTGCACAGAGTGCCTTATGAATTAGCCTGAATTTTGATTTGCTGATGTTTTAATATTTTCATCTGTGAGTAAATCAGGAGTCTCTCACCTGATAGCTCTGAGTGTGTGAGATGCCCGCCATGGCTGGCAGGCCTCATTCCTCAGGAGGGATCCCCATGTAGGGAAGAAACACCCATCTGTTAGTGGAGCTAGACATCTTACCCCAGTCCACATAGCCCACTGAAGGTATTCAGTTCTAGAATAGACCAGGCAAAAAGGAGGGGACACAGGAACAGAAATGGTGGCACTTTGGAGAAGGCTCCAGTAGTTGGTATCTCTGGGAACCTGAGAAATTTCATGGGTGAAGGATAATTCTGTGCGTTTAAGGAGGAGATGGACATTGTGTGACTGAGTGACTAAGTCTGTACCTGAGAACCAGCCTGAATTCAGTCTTCTGTGCTGGGCCCTGTCTGTCACCAGCATTATCCCTGTAGTACAAGTCCAAGTATGTCCCTGCCAAGGAGGGTCTCATCATCCCTGTGCCCAGCATGAGGCACAGTGTATTTGTCTCCTCATTCTGGTGCCATCTCTTTTCCCATCAGCAGCAGTCAGAAGAACTAGGAATAAACGTGCCATGGGGGAGGCCTGGGCCCCAGGGGCAACTCCAGCTTGATCAATCCAGTTTCTGCCAGGTCAAGCATGGGCCACAGTTGCTCCCTGAAACCACATCCCCAGGAGAAGGGCTGACCCCTCCCCCATGCACACATGTAAATAGAGTCCCAAGAATGTCCCCAAGAAGCAGACTCATCTGGCCATCTTGATATAACATCCTGGGAAGAGCAGCTGGGACATCCCTCTTCTGTCCAGGAAGCATGGCACATGGCCATGCACCCCTGAGGCAGGTGGCCCTGATGTTGAAATTACCCCCACAACCCATATGCCTCCAGTGGTAGTTCAAGACAGCTCAGGCATCTCAGGCCTATGAGCTGACTTGCAGCATGATTAAAAATAAAGGGGGGGGGGGTGCTCCTAGACCCTGGGAATGAGTAGATGTGAGGCCAATGAAGGTATGAGGAGATCTCAAATAGAGGAGCCTGGATCTGCATTGTACCACCTGTCTCAGAGCAGGATGTCTCATCTCCACATGCAGAGAGGATCATGCCTTTGTTCTAGCAGGTTGTACCACGGACAAGACTGTGCTCTGAGTGCTGAGGCCTCTGCTGCCCCCTATTGGTCCTCCTGAGTAGATCATGGGAACAGCCAAGCTCTGGCTGGTGGATGAGGCTGACTGCAGGGCTGCTGCTTCCTGGGCCTGTCCGTCGGGGCAGTGGTGCCAGGCCTCCCTGCAGTTGTCATCTTGTGGCTCTGACCCTTGGATTTCTGGTTGTAGTTAAGACAGGCATGTCATGGGCTGCATGGCAAGGCTGCGTGGCACCTCCCCCATAGTCATAGCCCTGATATCCTCTGCAGCCTTTAAATATTAGGCAGTACCTACCTGGTGAGGAGGTCTGGCCATCTTATCCCAAGCCAGCCAGACACAGCATGAAAAGCAGTACTTGAGTGGGAATAGGTCATGGGTCTTAATGAAGCTCCAGAAGCTTCTGGAAAGGTCACATGGCCAAGAACACTCCTCCACAGCTGGGACCAAAGCTGGGATCACGTGTCAACAATGGTCAGGGGTTTGGGACTGGAACAAGGGTGATCCTGCAGGTCCTAGTAGTTAAGGATAGCCATGGGCATTTGAGCAAGCATCACCCAGCAGCCAGTATAAGGTGACACTCTAGACATGGGTTCAGCCTGTGTTATACTATAACCTGACAGGTTTCTTCAGAGCAAGTGCAAAGCCAGTGCAGTTTCCTCCTCAGATTCACAGCCAAGTCTGTGTGAGCCCCTTCTAGACAATGCCAAGGAGGCCCCGTAATTTTTTTCCTTTAGATCTGTGGTTGTCATTGAAACATTGCCAAAGATATGTCACGTGGAAGCCAGGGAGTGGAGCTCATAAAGGACCTTCATTCACTATTTCTGGGCCAGCATCTTCTTATAGTGTCATGCCTGGACAGACCTAGTGAGTAAGAGTTGAGAGTCCTGTGGATGTGACAAGAACATCCTGTATGATACCTACATAGTACTGTCAGCTTCAGCTTCAGCTGTCCCCACAGCCACAAGTCTCCCCACTTGTTGCCTGTCCTGGGGGTCTAGATCATGTGGACAGAATGAAAGACACTTTTGCTTGTCACTGAAATGGAGATCGAAGACTGCATGGGTCCCACCTTGCAAATCTCCAGGGAAAGCACTGGGATTCTGGAAAGGAAGCCAGGTCTGGGAGGCAGGGACTTCGGGTTCATGGCTACTACCCTGCAAGCTCAGGTATGGGCAGGTCTAATCCCAAACCCTCACATATATTCTGTGAGTCCCATCCATGGTTTCCCATACCCAATGCTTGCAGTGGCACTCTGGAGAGATCTGAAAATCGTCCTGTTACCTATCTGGCCTCCACACAGCCTTAATCTAGGTACCATCAACCTCTGTGGAACCTCTTCTAAGCCTCCATGCAATGTCCCACCTCTTAAATGCTCTTAACTGAGGCAGGAGGTAAGCAAAGCAACAGCCAGAGTTTATTTATGTTTCATGTGCTCAACTGACACATTACTTTCAAGATAACCTGGGGAAACATCACCCAAAGTTCAAAGCAGCAAGACAAACACATTGGAAATAGTAGGTTGAAATCAAACAAAGGAAACCTGGATACACTTCCCTAGAGGCTCTCTGATAAATTGCAGTCCAGTCCCATCTCAGCAGTCTCTCCTGGGACACCTGACACTGTAAATATCAGGGTTTCATCCATTTCTTGAGTATCTGTTTTCATCCCTGTGAGTCGCCTTGTGCCAGGCCTTCAGCTCTCTCCATGAATCTCTGTCTTTCTGTCTCTGTCTGTCTGTGTCTCTGTCTCTCCCTCTCTCAGATAGTGTCTCATTGTGTAGCTCTGACTGGTTTGGAACTTGGTATGTAAACGAGGCTGACCTCTAGCTTACAAAAGTCTGCCTGTTTCTGCCTCCCAAGTGCTGGAAATAAAGGTGTGCACCACCATGCCTGGCTTTCCATGGGTCTTAACCTGAGCGTCTTTTCTGTGCTTTTATTTCCTTCCTGTTAGCACCAACTGGGAGAGAGCAGTTCTTGCCCGTTAGGAGTTAAGACACACCCCTTTGTTCTCTCTGGGGCTCTCAGTTGCCCTTCTGTACTGTGATCGCCCTTGGTATCTGCACCCGTATGTGCACACCATGCACACACATGCAGGGAAGGGTCTGTGGCCTGTGGACTACCCTGTAGAGGATATCGCTCCAACTCAGCCCCATCTGGCTTTCTATCTTATTAAGCCTTCTTGAGGCCTAGATTAGGCAGAACAAGGGGGTGCTTAGGGCTGTATCCGTATTCTTGAGAAGGCAGGCGGGGGCTCACAGAATTCTCTCTGGCTGTGCCATGTTGGAAGATCACATAATGCCCCCTCCTGTGACCTTTTATAAGAACAGAGCACGCCTTTAATCCCAGCACTCAGGAACCAGAGGCAGGTGGATCTCTATGAGTTCTAGGCCAGCCTGGTCTATAGAACAAGTTCCAGGACAGGCTCCTAAAGCTACACAGAGAAACCCTGTCTCAAAAAACAAACAAACAAAAAGAACAGATAGCGCTAGTTGGGACTCTTTAAAAGGCCTGAGAAGGATAAGGGGATGGGTACCCTAGGGTCTCCACACACCTTAGCTTCTTAACTTCATGCATCTTGCCTCAATCTCTTGTCTTTCCCCAGTGTGCCCAGCCCCTCGGCTCAGGCCTGCCTAGCTTTCACCCCCTGCGGCAAAGCACCCTTTTAACCTCAGGGAAGGCTAGAAGTACACAAAGTGTGTGTGTGTGTGTGTGGGGGGGTCTTGGCTATGCATAGGTCCAGACCAATGAGCCATCCTCATCTTTGTCTTCTAATGAGGCCAATCACAGGCTGGGTTTGGGAGGGATAACCACCACCTTTCCCCATGCATCATGCCCCTCTCAGAGGCCTTCAGCTCAGACAGTCCTAATACATGTCTACACTTCAGGCTTTATGTGCATATTGATTCACCCACCAGGCCACAGGCCCAATCCTGTTCAGGGTCCCAGCCCTACGAGGATTCTTGGCATAGACTAGCCAACACTGACTGCCAGTGTACCGGGCACCACCCTGGGCACCCGTGGTGCCTCTAATTCCACATTGATGCATACTTATTGAGTGAGACACAGGATCTGGACTTTCGATCATGCTATGAGTTGCCAGAAGCTGTGAAAGGCTCACTATGTCCCTGCTGGCTAGCTAAAGTAGCTGCGTTCCAGGCTCATGGCCACTGGGCAGATGGAAGCACCACCAGCACAGCCTCTGGGCAGTGTCTTTTCTAAATCCTGCAAGAAACCATTGGCACTTAGCATCTGACTGCATACCCTCTCCCTTGTTCTCTGTCTGCAAAGCCTGGGTGCCCCTTATACCCCTAGTTCCTTATCTAAGAGGACTTAATAGAAAAATGACCAAGCGTCAGGACAGCTGAGGTCACTGTAATACCTGAAAGACAGATGGCCAGCCAATCTGTGTAGTCTGAGAGCACTGCAGGTGAATAGGGGAGGAAGGGACGTCTCCAGAAGGTGACGCCTGGGCTGAACAGAGAGCATGTGTTGGTAGGGAAGGGTGGGCAGAGAGGTGTGATGTGCTA